ATACCGGCATTTTTAGTGATTGATTGTCTTCAGTATTTGTTAAAACCTTTATGTCATATATACAATTTAATTTTAAAGTCGTCTATTTATCCACAAATGTGGAAAGTCTCTCGTGTATTTCCTGTGTTTAAAGCTGGTGACAAAGCTAACATTGTAAATTACAGACCGATAGCACTTATATCGAACTATGCTAAATTATTTGAATGTATTATGTCAGACTTCCTATATACCCACTGTATTTCAACAATTGCCTTAGAACAGCATGGATTTATAAAAGGAAGATCCACTCTCACCAATTTATGTGAATTCACCGAATACGTATCCTTGGCTTTAGATAATCGCTTTCAAGTTGATGCCATATACACTGATTTATCCAAAGCTTTTGATAGAGTAGATCATTGCATATTGTTAAAAAAACTTGATACATTAGGAATATGTCATCAGCTAGTAATGATTTTTAGAAATCTCCTGTTTGGTAGGAAACAATTTGTTGAAATTCATGGAGTCCAGTCAACATTATTTCCTGTTAACAGCGGAGTTACTCAAGGCTCAAACCTAGGCCCGCTGTTATTTACTGTTTTCTTCAATGATGTCCTAAATGTTATTAGTTGTAGAGCGTTTATATATGCCGATGATTTAAAAATAGCTAAAGTAATAAAAACGAACAGAGATTGTTTAGTTTAGTGTAGATAAATTAGCGCTGTGGTGTGAACAGAATAAGTTAAGCCTTAATAAAAAAAAATGTAGAAAAATTACATTCTCCAGGAAAGACACTAATTTTAATTTTTATTACAATATTAATGGAACTTTGCTAGAAAACTGTAATCAAATACGCGATTTAGGCATAATTGTAGACTCTGCATTGTCATTTGTTCCTCATATCATTGATATAACAAATTCAGCTATCAAAACACTTGGCTTCATCTGTAGAAATACTAAAGAATTTAATAATATTTTATGTATTAAACAGCTTTATTATAGTCTAGTTAGGTCAAAGTTAGAATACTGTTCTATAATTTGGAGACCTCATCACCAAATTTATATTAATATTATAGAAAACGTTAACAGGAAATTTGCTAAGTATCTGTATTTTAAAATGTTCAACTGTTATCCTGTTAGTCATTGTAACCAGAGAGCTCTTCTTAATATAGTGAATGAAAATTTTCTCGAGTATAGACGAAATATTGCTTGTTTTGTATTTTTGCAGAAATTGGTGCGTGGTGATATATTCTGTCCAGCGTTACTAAATAATATTAACTTTTGTGTTCCTCGTTTATTGTGCAGAAATCCATCCACTTTTTACTATCAAATTCCAAATTCTTATCATCACTTTAATAGCCCCTTAATTACATGTTTTAGACTTTATAATAACTGTACTTTAGACGATAGCATTGATATTTTTCACGGTAATTTTAATAAAGCATCTTTCAAAAAAAAGTTATTAGCACGATATGCACAATAATATATGTACATAATATTTGTTCTGATGTTAGATTTAATTTTTTTTTTTTTAGATTTTTTTTTAAATTGTAAGTTTAGTTTAAGCTAAATTTAATGTCTTTTTGTGTATACATGTCCACCATAGACTAACGTCTGTTGGAATGAATAAACGTATTATTATTATTATTATTAACTAAAAAACTGAAAAATCAAAAAATCGACTAGTCAACAATCGAAGTCGAAAAATCGCGAAATTGAAAAATCACGAAGCTGAAATATCGAAAAATTGGGAAATTGAAACATTCGAATTTAAAAAAACTTAAAAGTCGGGAAATCGAAATGTCAAAAAAACGAAAAATGTAAAATTTAAGCGATCGAAAAATTCAAAAAACAAGAAATGGGGAAATTGAATAAAAATCTAAATTCTCGAAAAATTGAAAAATCGAAATATGGAAAAATCGGAAAATCTAGAGGCCCAAAAATCGAAAAGTCGAAAAATAGAGAACTTGAAATGGCCCAAAATCGAACAATTAATAATTGAAAAATTGAAAAATATAAAATTTAAAAAATCGATGAATCGGAAAATGGAAAAATCGAAAAATCGAGAAATTGTAGAATCAAATAATAAAAATTTCGGGAAATTGCAAAATTGCAAAATTAGAAACCGAAAAATCAAGAAATTAAAAATCTGAAACCTAGAAGTCGACAAATCGAAATTGGAAAACTTGAAAATAGAAAAATCGAAGATCTGAAGAATCGCGAAATGGAAACAGAACGATCTGAAAATCTAAAATTAAAAAAAATTGAAATACTGGAAATTCCCAAAATTGAATTATTGAAAAGGTGATCGAAAAAATAAATGTCGAGAAATTAAAAAATCGATTGAATGAAAATACAATCGTAAAAGCGAAAAAGTGAAGAATTTTAAAAATTATTAGTATTAGATATTTAAAAACTCGAAAAATTCCAATTGAATAATCCAAAAATGGAAAAATTTCGCTTTGAAAAAGAAGACTCATAAATTGGAAAACCCAAAAATGGTAACATCAAAATATTATAGAATCGTCGAAGTTCTAAAGTCGAAAAACTGTAACACTGAAAAATCGATAAACTGAAATATTAAATGTCGAGAAATTGAAAAATTGAAAATTTAAAAATAGAAAAATTAAAAAAATCGCAAAACTGAAGAATTGAAAGACTGAAAAATCGATAAATGCAAAAGTCGAGAATTCCAACATCAAAAAGTCGAGAATTTTAGTATCAAAAATTCAAAAAATTCGCGAAATGGGAAAAATCGGAAACTTAGTAACGCCAGAAATTGAAAAATGGAAAAATTGAAGAATCAGACTGAAAAATCGTGAAACCGAAATATCGGAAAATTTAGAAATCGAAAAATTGAAATTCCAAAATTTAAATGTAAAAATCGGAAAATCAAAACATCAAAAAATCGTAAAAATGAAAAATGTAAAATTAAGAAATCGGGAAATTGAATCTCCAAACTGAATTCTCGAAAAATTGAAAAATCGAAAAAAACGAGAAATTGAGAAAATGAAATATCCAAAAATCTAGAAGTCGAAAATTCGAGTAATAGCCCGAAATCAAAAAATTAATAATTGAAAAATTTTAAATTAAAACAAATTCGGATATCGAAAAACTCTTTTTATTGCAATTTTTTGTTGCAGTAAAACTATTTTAGGCATTTTCCTTTTAAATTAATATTAGATATCAAAAGTTGCGTCTAATAATTCTGATCTAATAAATGAAGTAGAAAAGTGGCAATCCAGCTCAAAGCAAATGTCAACCAGACTACTGACAGACAAAAAACTAAATCATCAAATCAGTTTATCCAACTTAAAGAAAAAATATCACAGCCTACTTTACTATGTAAAGATCGTGAATGGATAATACATAGCTGTCATAATTTTATTACTGAATAGAAAAAACAAAGGCCACTGCATTTATAAAAAAAAATTACCTTAGACATCCACATTTTTATGTATTTCATGTTTGTCGACATAGTCATGTCATTATCATTTTATTACAATTTTCTAACGATGTAGCGTATTTTCTCTAAAAATACATTGAAAGAACACACGCGTCATTGATTACAATAACAATTATTATAAAATTGGCATGTAGGTTATGGCTGAAGAAATTTGTGCAAAAACCAGTTTCCACGTAGATAAACAAGTGAAAAGTATGAAAAAGCGTGACCCCGATTGCGTAACGAACTTCGTTGACATAAAATATGATTGATCATTACTGTTTCTTTAACTTCAAGCATTTCTAGACTTTTTCTGAAATCTTTTTTTTTAAGAACTGCAGTTAAACGTTGTTGATTCGTGCTTATTATAAAACTGCATCTAAAATTTTACTGCCGAATTCCTCAAAGTTGTTTACTGTGGTGCACTATTTCGAGAAGACCAATTTGAAGAATGAAATTTTTTACGTTTTTTTGCTGGCGCAAGCGAATGCTGGAGTAAGTTTCCACCCATAAACAACGGTTCACCACGGGAGCAGCAACTTGTTAATGATCCTTGGGTATTTATTTGATTATTCTGTCTAAGTTTTTGTGTTGTGTATAGTTTCACTAATCTCCATGATCATTTTATATAATGATCATGTATGTGATCAAAATGTTTTTATATGAAAAACATGAATGAAAAATTGATGAGTAGTGAAGTTTATTTTGTTTTTTCAATCGTTTTCATAATTTGCACACTAATTTTAATATATTAAGGCGATGAATGGTTTTAAAATATTACGAGGTCAAATAATAATAAAAAAAATTACTTGATTATCCACGATCCTCTTTCTTTTCTTTGGGCTTTTTACTAAAAATTTTCTACCTTCTTGAGTCTGCCTTCTTCTTCATTCCATTCAAAATTTATGCCATCTACAGTTAACTTTCTCCGTTTTGTTGCCTTTTCTTTAATTTTGATTTGAATTTTTCTTTCTGTATTAAGTTCTTCTGCATTTATTTTTTCTTCTCTATTTTAGAATTCCACCTGCTTTTTCAATTATCTGCTTCTGCTTTCCTGTTCCTATTTCCAATTCCATCATCACTACTTTGTTTCTTCTCTTTTCTCTCTCCATTCCATGTAGTTGACTTTCTACTGCACCCACTCTTTTTCCCATTTCTTCCTTAGCTCGGTTTCATTCTTCATACTTATCTCTAATTTCTTGATTTTGCTCCTGTAGTTGATCTCTTGCTTGCTTTAATTCTTCTCTTATTGTTTTACATTCTCTCATATCATCTCTGATTTGTGGCGCTAGTTCACAAATTAAACAAATTCCTACGCGACGATCTTTCGATGTTTAACTATGTACACTGCACATATTTTTAGGGTTCACCTTTTTTTTTGGCAATGGAAAATTCTCTTATTAATAATTTAGCTTCTTAGGGACACTGACGAGTAATTTTTAATAAAACCTAAATTTGCTCGCAGCGCTCGCATTCTCAATATTCTTTTTAAATCAATGCGGCCTCAGTGAACGTTTACGATTTGCGTACTTCGGATTCCTCTATACCCAATAATAACTCCGTTAATAAAAATTCATTGTTAAAAAACATGTTTATTAGCACCCTGACGTAAAATACATTTTTTCCTCTTAAAATTTAAGAACACAATCACACGTAATAAATCTTGGAATAATTAATTCCAAGAGTGTTGGATCCTTCAGAGGAGCTTTCGTCACAGCATAGTGTTCGTAATTGTACAGAACCATAGTGGCAGACATTATCAGACTCCCAGAACACCACAGAAACACGTTAAAGAACATGTTTTCTGGAAAGTTAAGAAAAAACATGGGGAATACCGCAATCATAGCTAGAAAAAGAAAAAAAGGAAAGAATTTACCGAGGAAACAGAACATGACGTACTCGTGCATGGCAAACGACGCCACAAGAACCACAAAAATCGCTAAAAAATTATTGTCACAGATGTAGTGCTTGAAATCGCGGTAGACGAAACAGTATAGCCAATCTCGAACGAGGAGATTCCATTTTGCCAACCACTTGTTGTATCTGGATTGGCTCCACCAGTCTTGGTAGAATAATCTGTCCCCGAAACGGGTGACTTCGGCGAATAGGTTTTGGACGGAGTGAAAAACCAGGAAGAAACTTCCACACGCGACCAAGCCTCCGTGCGGACTAAATTCAATTATGTCTAGCAGTGTGTCCTTTATGGTGTACTTCGCTAGCCATTTTTCTGGAGTTGGATAAATGGCGTGTAGAATATATGCGAACATGAATACCATGCTTATGGCTTCGAGAAGGCGACAAATGACGAAGTTCCAGTTGATGTGTTTCGTTCGTGGGTAGCTGTCTCGGTAGATGAGAGTAGGAGCGAAGAGGAAGTACAGAAATTTGGAAAATTTTGCATCTTCTGAAGCCGACATTAGTGGGGGAGCTTTGATGCGCACGAAAGAGTGCACTTTCATTAAAAGCCGGACCTGGAAATTTTTAGTTGGGTTAAATTTTTGAGTGTTGATAAACTTACAGATTCTATGGATACGAAGACTGCACACGGTGGATTAAATTCGAAGTATAGTGTTGCGGTACTTGTGAAGTTTATCATGTAGAAGTAGTAAAGGACTAACGACACCGCCCAAAACCAGTCCCATGTTGTGGTCAGTTCTGAAAATTAAGTGACTGTTGACGAAGAGATATGCTGGGTGTTTCAACTTTTAGGACTTAGAATATAGAAAAATAGGACTTCCGTTCAGGCTAAAAAAACATACCAATTCTACACGAACTCAACCGTAATTTTGTTTTAATGTGTGTATGGAAAATTTTTAGAACTTTATCATTTAGTATCACGAATTGTTTTTAAATTCTTTCAATAACTTAACGCTTCGCAGTAAATAATTTGGCAAAAACAATATTTAATAACACGAGTGTGAAAAATATCCCTCGGTAATATTAGAGGTAGATAATAATTTCTTAGATTTCACTTAACAATATCTGGCTTAATATATCGATGAGCATCCCGTTTAAAAAAGTTCATTTTTTAGAATTCTTTATGCAGGATGACCAAAAAAAAAAAATTGGTCTAAAGAGTTTAGACAGTACTTCCCTCGCTGTCGGAAACTTGACGACTGCATGCCTATTGTGTTTTTTTTCTCATTACATTTTTGTAGTGGGAATTTAAAAAAAAATTGCGATGACGTCATCAACATTTTTGCAAGGACACGTATATCAGTTGGGATAGATGTAGTGTAATACTAAGAATAAAATTATTATATTCTCAAATTTTCGGGAAAATGAATTGGGTCGTTTTGAATATTGATTTGTAATAATCAATAAAATAACGAAACAATTTACTCACGTATACGTATCAGAGGCAACTGAAAATCGTGTATGTATAAACATTCTTAATTTAAGATGACAGGCGTAACAGCATACGTGAGAGTCAAACAGAGAAACTGTAAACAAAACGACCATCGGTTTTATTGCTTCGACTTCCGCTTATTATATAAAACATTGGGTTTTATTTTAATTCTTGACGGTGAAATTCACAATTGGTTGATTACAAACATGTCTATTTCACATTCGCGGAACCAAGTGAGCGCATAAAACAAATGCAGGTCTGTAATGTTAAAGTCGATGTAAATAAGCGTGCTACTCTTATGTTTCAACCGAGTTTTTCCTTTAACAAATTTTGTGTCTACCAAATTGGGTTGGTTGGGGTGTAATACTAATAATAAGTGTTGCCTTTAATTTAATCAATAAAATAAATTGACTTCATTAATTTTTTTGAACCACCTCTTAAGAAAATCTAAAAGATATGAATGGAATGATAAATCACAAGTACAAACTCATCATATTTTTTGCATTTTAGATAGGATTTATTCAGCAAAATTTAAGGGTGACGTCATCAATTTTTTTAGGAGGGATGAACAAATACATTTTGAACAAAAGTTTACCATGCTTATAATAACTTTAAAATATTCCCAAGATTTCAAAGCATTCGGTTTTGTAATTCCTGATTAAATCGATAAAATAAATTCACGCCTTCATTAATTTTTTTGAGTCACCCTGCATATGCAAATCCAAAAATATGAATGGAATGATAAATCACAAGTACAGACTCATCATAGTTTGTACATTGTAGATACGATTTATTCGGAAAACTTTTGAGCTGACCTCATCAGTTTTTTGTAGAAGATAACCAAATATATTTTGACTAAAAATTTATTATGCTCTTTATAACCTTAAAACATCTGCAAGATTTCAAAGCATTCGGTTTTGTAGTTCCTGATTAAATCAATAAAATAAATTTGCGCATTCATTAATTTTTTTGAGTCACCCTGCATATGCAAATCCAAAAATATGAATGGAATGATAAATCACAAGTACAGACTCATCATATTTTGTACATTTTAGATACGATTTATTCGGCAAACTTTTGAGCTGACGTCATCAAGTTTTTGGAGGGGATAAGCAAATATTTTTTGACTAAAGATTTATGATGCTCTTTATAGCCTTAAAACATCTGCAACATTTCAAAGCATTCTGGTTAGCAGATTAAAAATTAAATTTCAAAATGTTGTTTTATAATTTTGATTTTTTTTCCAAAAATCTGGACGTTTTGGGTGAAAAATCGATTCAGAGTTGTAAACTACAGGTGTAGGACTATGTTATTTTATACAACTGAAAACCCATTTACTATGTACAATTTTGAAGTGACGTCATCACATTAGTGGTGGGGATGATTAGACAAATTTTGGTTAGCGTTTTACCATCTACATGATATTCTTAATATAAGCACAAAATTTCACAACAATCGGTCGAGTACTTTCGGAGATTATCTGTCTAATAAAAATCCGGGGGCAGACGGACAGACGGACGGACAGACGGACAGACAGGCGGAAATGGGAGACCTATTTCTTCGTCTTCTAGGGGTCATGAAAGATCGAGAAAACGTAAAAGTAGAGAGTCGGCCGACGGACTCGATTACAATACTTCCTTTGCTTACGCTCGGGAAGTAAAAATAACTGAATTAGTTAATTTTCGGAGAATATAGCACTATTTTTTATTTCAACTTGTGGGCTCTGAAATCTCGCAAACATTTTAAGGTTATCGTAAGCAAGATGCGTCGCTAATTAAAATTTAAACGGATAAACTTGCTGCTTAAGTCCTACATAAAATATAAAAATATTGAATCTACACTTGTGGTTTATCAATGCATTCATATTTTTAGAATTATACGATTACTCAAAAAAATATAACGAGTTAAGCAATTTATTTTGTCGAATAAATCAAGAATGGCTTACTTCATTTTGGAAATGAGAAAGTTTTCACTTACATTAATTATTTAGATATCTAGTCTCTTTTAAAAAATGTAATAAAGAATTAGAGCTGTTTAGTAAGTTATGCAGCTAGCGTTGGAAAAGAAAAATTTCGACTTACTTTTATCCCAGGTTCTGAATTTCCCCCAAATTTGGAAAAAGTAAAACGACGCACACGTCGACAAGAAACAGCACAACCAAATCAGTATCGCTTTATCGAATTTAGCGAATCCTTTTCCGATGGTTTCTAGACCGAAATCCACCCTAAAACAATCACGATTATCATAACAATTTTTTTTTAACATTATAATTATTCACCTCCCGTCTTTTACGTAGTGCCTCAGCGCGTTTTGAAGGCACAAACCCGCGAAAACGATAACGTAAACATTGTAGACGTTGCGAGTGTGATTGTTGTCGAAAATGTCGGTCAGGAGGGAATTTCTAAGGACGAACGTTTTTTGGCGCGACCTGAAATTGACGAAATTTAAAAATTATTTATGGTTTTTTTCTCCGGTGTGTACGTTTTTTTTTCGGGTTCTGGGGGCTGCATTTTTGGAAGGTCGAGCCAGTGATGGATTTTTTTAAGTGAGCGGCAACTGCACTGCACAGAACACGAACATACGATGGAACGATGTATACTAGTTCAATAAATCCCGCCCCTGTCCTGAATATACTGAAGGTTTTCTTCTTTTTTCGGTTTGATGGGTGACGTCCGATGGTGAGCTGGTGGATGGTTCATTAAAAACGGTGGAAAGTTTTAAAATGGTTTGATTTTTTTTTGCGTGTGTGTAGTTGTTGTGGGTTTTGGTACGTCATTGTACCGTTGTACAATCGCACGCAAATGTTTTGAGCCTATGGGCGGATTATTTTTGCCGGTCGTCACCGAAGGAGGCGGTCCAAATCGTCCAAGGGCAGAATTTGTAGGTAGGCTCAAACTACAACGAAATTTACGTGTTGACCAAATTCTTACCCTGAATTAGTTTTAATTTTATAAATACTTACTCTGAATTAGTTTTAATTTTATAAATACCCTATCTGAAATGTTCAGAATATGATGAGTCTATACTTGTGATTTACTATTCCATTAATATTTTTTGGATTTGTTTATACATACAGGTTGACTCAAAAAAAAATAATGACTGAGTCAATTTATTTTATTGAAGAAATCAAGAATTGCAAAACTGAATACTTTGAAATCTTGTCAATTAGTTAGAAAAAAAAAACCTGTCCTGCTCTAATAACATCGAGAATATGCTCAAAATCACACTAATATTAGGTCTAATTGTGCCGACCATAGTTATAAAATTCACATTAAAGTAAGTCACGGACATTTTTTGAAGTGTACTACATTTCAAAAAGCAAAAAAAATGTTCAGTTTATAAACTTCTTAATTTTGGTTTAAAGTTTATCAATCATATTTGACGCTTTATTTTATCCGTTCCATTTGTTATCCTTTAGACTGCGGTCTCTCTTGGATCGAGGTGTAACACCGGACCGAACGTTCTTCGACCGATAGGATAATTTATTACTTCCGTCATCTTTTCGGTGACAAATTTAATCTTTGCATACTTCAGCGTACTTAGTGAACTCGTTGTGACCACTGAAATATACAAAGAGTAAATTTTGAAAGGGAACGAAAGTCGAAGAATACTTTCAAATTCACGATCAAAATGTATTTGCTTTTCTTCGCCAAAAAATGCATGACGTCATCGTCAAAATTTGATATGATGAGTCTATACCTGTGATTTATCATTGCAGTAATATTTTTTAGATTTACTTCTACAGCCTGTCTCAAAAAAAGGTCACTTCGATTTTCGATTTTTCGTATTTTCGACCAACAGTTTCATCGAATTAGATTTTTCAGTTTCCATTTTTCTATCAACTTTTCGATTTTATTACTTTCTAATTTTCTGATTTTTCAAATTTGCGGTATTTTGGTTTTTCGAGTTTTCAGTTTTTTCGTTTTTCGATTTTTTAATTTGCCATTCTTTCAATTTTCGATTTTTCGTCTTTCCATTTTTAGATTTTTTGATTTTTCTGTTCGTCAGTTTTTAGACTTTGCAATTTTTTTGCATTTTTCGATTATATTTTATTTTCCGATTTTTTTGATTTTTGAATTCTCGATTTTACGTTTTTAATTCTTCGATTTCCGATTTTTCAATTTTCCGGTTTTTTAATTCTTCTATTCTCGATTTTTCGATTTTCCATTAATCATAAAATTTTTCGATTTTTGGGTTGTTTTATTTTTCGACCTTCGATTTTTCAACTTTCGATTATTCGATTTTCCATTTTCTGATTTTACGATTTTTCGATTTGCGATTTTTCGATTTTCGTTTTTCCGATTTTGTGGTTTTTCGATTTTTCTGTTTGTTTCAGTTTTTATCGTTCTGCAATTTGCAGCTTTTAGATTTCAATTTTGTTACTTTCCGATTTTCCACTTTTCGATTTTTTGTTTTTTTTTTCGATTTTTTGATTTTTCAATTTTTAGGCCTTTCAATTTTTTTACTTTTAGCTTTTTCGAGTATTTGTTTCATCGAATTTTCGATTTTTCGAGTTTTCGATTTTCGATTTTTCGGTTTTTCCATTTTCCGATTTTCGATTTTTCAATTTTCCATGTTTAGATATTTTTCTTTTTTTTTATTTTTTGATTGTTCTGTTCGTCAGTTTTGAGACTTTGCAATTTTTACTTTTCCACTTTTCTATTATTTTAGTTTCGTATTATTCGATTTTTGAATTTTCGTTTTTTTTTTCATTTTTCGATTTCCGATTTTTTAATTTTTTGATTTTTCGGTTTTTTAATTTGTCGATTCTCGATATTCCGATTTTCAATTTTTCGATTTCCCAATCTTCGATTTTTCAATTTCCAGTTTTCGATTTTCCACTTTTTGATTTTACGATTTTTCGAATTTTCTGTTCGTCAGTTTTTAATTTTGCAATTTGTTTACCTTTCGATTTTTCGATTATTTTACTTTCCAGTTTTTTGATTTTTAAATTGTCGACTTTTAGAGTTTTCAATATTATGAATTTTCGAATTTTCGGTTTTCCTATTTTTCGATTTTTGATTTTTCCATTTTTCGGTTTTTTGATTTTTCAATTCTCGGTTTTTCAATCTTGCAAATTTTCGATTTTTCAGATTTGTGAATTTCCAGTTTTTCGATCGACCTACGTATTAGATTCATTGAATTTTCGATTTTCGGTTTTTCCATTTTTAGATTATTGATTTTTCAGTTTTGCATTTTCAGACTTTCTGTTTTTCGCATATCTTATCAAATTTTCGATTTTTCGGCTTTTCGATTTTTCGATATTTGATTTTCGAATTTTCGATTGTTCAGTTTTCCATTTTTCAGCTTTTAGACTTCAATTTTTTTACTTTTCGATTTTCCAAATTTTCGAGTTTCAATTTTCAGATTTTTGATTTTTCGATTTTCTTTTTAAATCTTTGAATTTTTCGGTTTTGATTTTTCGAATTTTTGATTTTTAATTTTTCCATTCTTCGGTTTTTAGACTTCAATTTTCTTTCTTTTAAATTTTTCGATGTTCTATTTTCCGTTTTTCAGAATTTTCGATTTTCAGTTTTCAGACTTTCGATGATTAGAATTTTGGATTTTTCAGTTTTATGATTTTTCGATTTTTAGCAAATTTGAGTAGTCGAATTTTCGATTTTTCAATTCATCGATTTTTCGATGTTCAATTTTTGAATTTAAATTTTGCGATTTTCAATTTGTCCATTGTCGATTTTTAGAATTTTCGGTTTTTCAATTTTTCCATTCTCAACTGTTAGACTTCAATTTTGTTACTTTCCGATTTTTTGGTTTTCGATTTTCTAATTTTCAGAATTTTCAAGTTTCTTTATTCAGATTTTCCATTTTCCACTTTTTTGATTTTAGATTTTTCGAATTTTTGTTTTTCCAATTTTTTGCTTTTTCGATTTTTCTGTTCGTTTCAGTTTTTAGGCTTTGCAATTTTTTTTACTTTATATATTTTGATTATTTTAATTTCCGATTTTTCTTATTTTGGTTTTTGATTTTTTTAATTTTCAATATTACAAATTTTTGACTTTTCGATTTTTTGATTTTCCCGTTTTTCAATTTTCGATTTTTCGATTTTTGAGGTTTGTGAATTTCCACTTTTCGATCGACCTAGGTATTTGATTCATTGAATTTTCGATTTTTTGTTTAACCATTTTTAGATTTTCGATTTTTACGATTTGTATTTTTCGATTTTCTGTTTTTTACAGTAGTGAATTTCAGTTTTTCCGATTTTTGATTTTGCGCATATTTGATTAATCAAATTTTCGAAAAAGTTACCATGCTTACAAAAACTTCAAAACATCTACAATATTTCAAAGTATTCAGTTTTGCTATTCTTGATTTCTTCAATAAAATAAATTGACTCAGTCATTAACTTTTTTGAGACATCCTGTATAACCAAATCTAAAAAATATTAATGCAGTGATAAATCACAAGTATAAAACTCATCATATTTTATACATTTAAGATACTATTTATTCTGCAAAATTTTGAGGTGACGTCATAAATTTTTTAGAGGGGATAAGCAAATATATTTTAATTAAAAATGTATCATGTTTATCATGATTTTAAAACATCTGCAAGATTTCAAAGTATTCGATTTTGCAAATTCAAAATTAAATTGCAAAATATTGTTTTATAATTTTCATTTTTTTTCCAAAAATCTGGACGTTTTGGATAAAAACTCAACACGAAGTCATAAACTACATGTGTAGGACTATGTTACTGTATACAATTTAAAATCCATTTACTATGCATAAATTTGAAGTGACGTCATCACATTATTGGTGGGGATGATTAGACAAATTTAATAATTTTGCGACATTTATGAAAAAAATATCAGTTAACAAAAATGGCACGTTTTTATTATTATGCCAGTTACATGTCACTCAACGACAATATCGTTTTTTTTAAGAGTATTTTATTTGAAAGAGTGATGAAATTTTTTATACGGAACAATTGGTCGAAAGATGTTAGAAAGCAAAATAATTCATGTCCGGACCATCGTTACTCACGAACGAAAGTGACCATTATTTTATGGGAACACCTACCTGCTAAATCTTCTCCGACAAATTCGAGAGAACTGGTGTCAGCCATAAATATTTCTTACCAAATGTATATATAACTACTGTCCGTCCCGTTATTGTCAATAAAATTTTATAGGGTAAAATCTGAATTTCGTTGTAGTTTGAGCCTACCCACAAATTCTGCCCTTGAAGGATTTGGACCGCCTTCTTCGGTGAGGGCAGGCAAAAACGATCTGCCCATAGGCTCAAAACATTTGCGTGCGATTGTACGTAGTGGTTAGAGAAAATACTATTTTGCGCTAAAATTTTTCCACTTGTAGAAAATAATAGAGTAGTAAACATTTTAATAAGTTTTATAATTTTTAATGTAATTATCAGAAATACATTATATAATTATAAGACCTTGTTCTACATAGCTGTCATAATTTTATTGGTACTGATTAGAAAACATAGGCATTTTTGGAAAAAAATATACTACAGCAATTATGTACAAAATAACTTCGGCGTAACTTGTCTGAACACTCGCTGCACTCGACGTGATGACTTCATAAATCGCTCGTCACCGCTTCTGGACTTCTCCGGAATCCCCATCCGCGACTTGAGGATGAATCATCACCGGCGTAATAAGACCAAAGAGTAAGGGTGTATTTCGATTTTGCAAAACCACCCTTATTGACATTGGAGTCCTCAAAAAACTTGTTTCGCGACAACTCGTCGCCTGAGAACTTGTTTGATCTACAGACCAGAGCGCGCTCAGGCCAATGTCGACTCTAAGCGTTCAGAAGCGATTTGGTTCGTTTGGATTATAATT